ATGTTGGTTACAAATTGTTATGGATAATGGTCAGGAGAGAAGCTAAAGAAAGGAGATTAGATTCAGAGTTCTTGTTTTTAAAAAAAGGGGAAAAGTGTTGTGGGATAATGGTCATTTATCATGTCACTTGGATTATTTTTAATAAAATGGTGATTGGCCAGTAGCCAGGCATGGAGTATAGGCAGGGTGAGCAGGCAGGAAGTAGAGGCAGGGCAATGAGAACAGGAGAATTTTGGGAAGAGGGAAGCTCAGTCTCCAATTGTGACCTAGCTGCAGAGGAAGAAAGATGTGACTGCCTCGCCCAAAAAGGTACCAAGTCACATGGCCAACACAGACAAGAATTATGGACTAATATAAGCTAAAAGAATTATTACACTAATGTCTGTGTCTAGATTGGGAATGTGTCCTCTGAACAACCAGAGAAATTCATGTTCAGTTTTCCATGACTATGTGGGTTAGTCACTTGGGCCACTCATCAAACTCCCTGCGTCCAAAACCAAGCTTTTATTTATTGACTGTGTTTACCTTGGACAAGTTATTTAACTGATCTGTGCCTCTTGTGTAAAGGGGACGTGTAAAAGGAATATATACCTTTCTAGAGCTCTCAGAAGAATTAAATCATAAAATCCACAGGAAGCACATATGTTGGTATACGGCATAATCAATGCTCAATGTATATAAGCTGCTGTTATTTTGTATCTATTTCTGCTGCTTTAAGTATTTCCCATCTTTAAGTCTGTGGCCATCTTCAGAAGAGAGTCTCTGCATACTTCTGTATTACCACCTACAAAAGCATTTAGCATGTGACAGGCCATGAATAAAGTTTGTTAAAATAATAAAAAAAATTAGTTAATAAGAAGAACCTGATATACTGGGCCAATCAGTTTATAATTGATGTTGACCGCTGTGTGATTCTTTGGCTGAATGACTGCAGGACCGGGAAGGAGAGAAACCTCAGACAACAATTGAGTGTAGGGGATGTTGTTTATTTCTGTCCAGTGCTAGGTAAGCACTCTACAACTGAGCTCTGCTGGAGATAACCGAAAGTGTTTGCTGAGAGGAAAAAACAACCGAGCACTGTGGCACATGCCAGCAACCCTAGCACTTGGAAGGCAGGGGCAGGAGAATGATGAACTTGAGGCCAGCCTAGGCTATAGCAGTCCCTGCCTATAAATAAATAAATAAATAAATAAATAAATAAATAAATAAATAAATAA